CTCGGAACAGGACAAGCGTGACCCGCTCTCCATCGCCAGATGGCACAAGTACCCGGTCTTCTTGACCGCATACAGGTGCCGGAGTTGAGGGTGAGGGGGGAACGGAGTTCTACGTGCATTTATTTGCATGCGGTTTTTTGCATTTGTATGCATGTGCATGCGTGCATCATGTTTTGTACGTGTGCGCCTTTGAGCATGTGGTTGGCACTCAGTGTGGGTGTCACTGGATGAGCTGCTTCGACAGCATTCCCGTCCCCCTACCTCACACACACACACACACACACACACACACACACACACACACACACACACACACACACACACACACACACACACACACACACACACACACACCTCAACGTTGGGACGGCCGCGGTACCAGGAGAGGAGCAGCCAGACACACGCACAGGAGGTGGAGGCAATCTGCGTGTTTGCGAGGACGGTGGCTGTGATGTAGCCCGAGGTGAGGCTGCTGCCGGCATTGAAGCCGAACCAGCCCATCCACAGGCAGAACCCGCCCACGCAGGCGATGGGGAGGTTTGACGGCTTGAAGTGGCCGTGGGCCCTCGTCACCTCCTTTTGGCCGGTCCAGGTGTTTGTCACCGTCGTGCTGTCGTACTTTGTGTTTGGGGACGAGCTGGCCACGCTCGAGTACGTGGGCATGGCGCTCATCATGCTTGGCATGCTGGCTGTGAGCCTGGGCAACTACCGGGAGACGCGCCCGCCCAAGTCCAGCCGCGCCAATTCCGCCGAGGTGGACCAGCTCCTCATCAACCACGACTACTAGCACAAGTCGCCGCATGCATGTGCATGTGTTTTGTTTTGTTTGCGCCGTGCGTTGGCTGCATTGGTGTGACGTGCCTCTTCACGGCGTTGCTCTTGCTTATTATTCCGGCGTTTCTCGGACGCGGTGCTTTGTTGTGCGTTACATTATGGTTGTTTGTTATGTTACATTACCTGTTGTCCTGCTTCTTTCTTGTCGTTCACACACATCACACATTCAACCATGTCCCAGGTTCGGTCTTGCTTTCCCCACGCTACACCAACGTTGTTCATGATACATGTCACGTCCGGTGATGTGTGCGACATGATTTGACACAAACGCCTCAGAGAGTCAACCACGCACATCCTCACACTGCAACACCGTTGTTCATGAGAATGTGTATTGATCGGGCATGTGGAGAGAGTGCCACACAACACAACAGATGCACAACCACCACCATCACAGCAAGCCGCGTCAGAACCACCAAGCAAACGCACGACCACAAAACACACATGCACCAGCACATACCGCACATCGCAAGGCAGCACACCAATGCCAATGAAGCAAACCCACGTTCAGGCCAGCACCCAAAGGAGAGAAAGTTTTTTTCAAATCATGATTGGGAAGGAGTGGAAAAAGAAAGGGGTGGGTGGGCACTTCTCCTCACAGTTGTGGGGCCTTCCTCCCACGGTAAAAACCACACAGAGAACACAAACGTTCCTGTGTGCGCGGGCAGTCGCGAGGAGACGAAACAAATGGGAAGCCAAAGGCACGGATGCTACCAAAACGAAGATGCGATAGTGTGTGCGTGTGTACTCAGATGGGCCACGTCACGAAAGGGAAGAAAACACAATCATGACAGCAACCACACGACGTGCACACACGCACAAAACGGAACAGCAGTCAGTGGACAAGGGGAGGAATGCATTGGAGCTAGAGATGCGAGGATGATGCTGAAGTGAACTGCTGCGCAAAAACACTCACACCGCCATCACCAGCACCCAACCAAACCAACCACGCACAACAAAACACCACCACGCCTACTCCCCCCAATGAGAGAAAAGGGACACGTGATGACACAAAGCTGAAGAAGCTGCGGAAGGAAGGCTGCTGGTTTTGTGTTGATGCTGCTGTCGCCTTAAGCACGCACGTGCCAGACGCGGATGTTGTTGTCGCTGTAGCCAGCAAACAGGGTCTGGCCATCGGGGGACCAGGCGAGGGACAGGCAGGTGGGTGCCTTGGCGGACTCCTCAGACTCGTCGACGAGCTCGTGCACAAGCTCCTTGGTCTCGAGGTCCCAGATCTTGACGGCGGGGCCGGCGGCGGCGCAGAGCCAGTAGCGGTTGGGGCTGAAGACGAGGGCGTTGATCATGTCCTTGGCGTCGAGGGTGGAGAGGTGGCGGCTGTCGGTGAGGTCCCAGAGCATGGCCTGGCCGTCCTTGCCACCGGAGGCGCAGAGGGAGCCATCGGGGGAGACGGTGACGGTGTTGAGGTAGCCGGTGTGGCCGATGTTGTTGCACTTGAGGCGGCAGTCGGTGAGGTTCCACACCTTGACCTTGTTGTCCCAACCGCAGGAGACGATGATGGGGTTGCTGGTGTCGGGGGAGAAGCGCACGCAGGAGATCCACTCGGAGTGGTTGTTCTCGCGGATGACGTACTTGCACTCGGCGAGGACGTTCCACAGGCGGATGGTCTTGTCGCGGGAGGCGGAGACGACCTGGCGGTTGTCTGGGGAGAAGGCGACGGAGAGGACGTCCTTCTCGTGGCCAATGAAGCGGCGCTTGCACTTGCCGGTGGCAATCTCCCACAGGCGCATGGTGTGATCCCAGGAGCCAGACAGGGCAAACTGGCCATCGGAGGAGATGACGACGTCGGACACGGTGTGGGAGTGGCCGCGGAGGGCGCGCAGGGCAAAGCCGCACTCCTCGCCATCCTCAAGCTGCCACACAAGAACAGTCTTGTCTGCGAGGGTTGTTTGAGACAGGGGCACGGGGAGGGGTGTGCGAGAGCGAGTGTGCATGCATCAGAGAGAGGATTTGTGTGAGCGTTGGTGTGCGAGAGCGAGTGGATGTGTGTGCGGAACAATGAACAGTGTGTTGTCAGTTGAAACTGGTGCGAAAAGAGCCGATTACGACCGCATGCATGCGTGCGTGTGTGCGTGTGCGTGTGTGTGTGTGTGCGTTGTTGTTGACCCTGTCGACAAGCGGGCATTTGGATTCAAAGCTGCAACATACCGCGGGAAGCGGAGAGGATGATGTTGGGAGCCTCGCTGGAGGTGGCGATCTGGGTAACCCAACCGGCGTGGCCCTCAAGGGTGCCGCGGAGAACAATCTGTTCAGCAGAGTCCATCTTGACGTGTAGCTGGGGGTTGTTGTCGGTCGTGCAACGGCTGCTGGTGTGTTGTTGTGGCGAGTTGTGGTGTGTTGTTGTTGCGATGTGTGCAGTGTGGAAGGTGAGTGCCATTGGTGGTGGTGGTGGTGCATGCAGGGCGTACAAATGACTACTGTGTTGGGCGTGTGCGTGTGTGTGCGTGCGTTCACATGATCATCCCCCCCCCCCCCCATGCATCGAAGCCAGTGTGTTTGGTGGTGCTGATGGTTGGTCGCTTGTCTCCAACTCCCTTATCACCGGCCGTCTGCCACTACCATCTCCTTCACTCACGTGCGGCTGGCGAGCTCTCAGGAGACGAAGGAAAAAGGCACGAGTTGTGGAAACCGTGCAACCAGGTTGTGGCATTTTATCGAAATTACCCACAAAAATTCCACCCACAGAAAACGCACAGTCAGCAAAACAAGGTGTTGTGTGTGTTGGTGTGCTGTGTTGTGGTGTGTGTGTATGTGTGTGTGTGTGTGTGTGTGTTGGAGTGTGTGTGTTGTGTCGGGGTGTGTCTGTGTGTGTTGGAGTGTGTGGAGTGTGACAGTGTCAGAGTTCGTCATTGGAGCCAACGATCCGAGATTGAAGGGCTTGGATGCGTTTGAGAATGCCGCCAACGTGCTTGAGCTTTGCTGCTTGGTGCGCGTTCACCTCGGCCTCGGTTGCAGTCCTGCCCGTTCGTGAGAGTGTGGTGCATAAATGTGTATGGATGTGAGAAGCAAGGCAGTGTTGGGCGAGGGAGGGAGGGAGGGAGGGAGGGGACACAGAACGAGGCGAGCACGAGGGAGAGGAAATGACAAGGGACAAGGGAGCAAACGGCAAGACACAAGAACAGAGCACATGTGTCATGTGCGTACAACAACATAACGTGATCACGCACGCACCCGAGGGTGATGTCCTTGACATGTGCATTTCTGTAGAAGTTGACAATGACATCGTCATAGCGGTTCAGTTCACGGTGCAGCTGTTGCAGGCGCTGCCCAGTGTACCCATGCTGTGCAACAGGTTGGAACGCCGCAATGCATGGTGAGGGCGTGGCTTATGCAGACAAAGATGCCTGTGCATGCACAAACGAATGAAACACACAGACACAGACGGACGGACAAACAAACACACACACACGCACAGACACAGACGGGCGGACAAACAAACACACATAGACACAGGCACGGACGGACAAACACACACTCACACACAGACGCACACACAGACGCACACACACACACACACACACACACACACACACACACACACACACACACACACAAAACCTTGTGTGCGAGAAGGAGAAGGTAGTTGAGGGCGTTGGAGGCATATTGCTTTGATTCCACACTCGCAGGCCCCGCGTTCAAGATGGCCTTATTAATTGCAACAATAGCGTGCAGTCAGCAGCAAGTGAGTCAAGAAGATAAGCAAGGTACTAAAAGACAAGGGTGAGGAGCTTCGGCTGCTGACAGCGACAAGGTCGTGTCATAAAGAGGTCATATCACATAGAGGCGCGCACCATGATCCCATCGAATGCCGCCCTAGCCTTTGGTTCACTGGCTGCATTCCTTGCAGTCCCAAGGGGAAAAGGTGTGGGGATGCGCACAGACCAGCAAGATGGACAAGTTCAGGCGCGTGCACGATTGCACAGGCACAGACGCACAGACGACATAAACACAGACACACAGACGCACAGACACACAGACGCACAGACGCACAGACGACTGCAACACAGACGCACAGACAACAGCAACATGCGCACAGACACATGGATGCACAGACACACGCGTGTTTGGCATTTGCCACTCACCCAGCATCGAGATCCTTCACAGCAGCAGCGTAAATGGCCGTCACCTCACGAAGCCGTCCAATCTCCTGCGACGGCAGCGACGAGCACCCACAAGCAAGAGTGTGAGTAACTGCTCTTCAAGCACAAACACAGCACTCAATGAAGCCCCCCCCCCCCACACAGACACACACAGACACACAGACACAGACACAGACACAGACGCACACATACACACACACACACACACAGACACTCAGGCACACACACACACACAGACAGACAGACACACATACACACACACACACACACACACCTTGCTGTTGAAGCCGCATAAGGATGCCACGTGCGGGACCATTCTCTTGTTGTGCTTGAAGCCGGGCATAGTGAGGGCTCCCACTTCCACAGATCGCAGGGCGGCTGTCAATGGCTCAATGTTCTGTAGTTGCGACGGATGGTGTTGTTGTTTGCGTGCGTGCGTGTGTGTGTGTGTGAGGGGGGCGGGAGAAGGAGAATTGGGGTGCCATGGAGGTGTGAGCGGGCTGATGTCGCGCTCAACAAGGGAGTAGAGATGTAGTCAAGGGAAGGGGAACAGTGGAAGCAAGATGCGCAGAGATGGACGCAGAGATGGACACAGAGATGGACGCAGAGGGAAAGACACGCAGAGCAAGAACAAAGAGATCTCCGCACAGACACAATTACACACACACACACACACAGACACACACAGACACACACATACACAGACACACACAGACACACACATACACAGACACACACAGACACACAAACACACAGACACAGACACAGACACACGCAGACACACACAGACACACAGCCACACACCTGGAACTCATCAACAAGTTGGCGAGCTTCGGCATCATCCGCAGCGCCCACAGCACCGTGGAGAAGTGCGCCCACTGACACCACCACCAGCAACACGAAAAAGGTTCCGCTGCTCATCCTCGCAGCACTCCGTTGCTTTTGTGCAGTTGTCATCCTCGTCATCACTTCTTGCTACCACAAATCACAACAACCACCTTCAAATACACATACACCAACCACACGCACAAACGCAACAACGCACACGCCAACGCCAGCATGCCGAAGAAGCGGAGCAGCAAAGGGAGGCTGGAGGAGATGCTGGATAGCCGCCGGCGGGCCGAGCAAGGGAATGGCTCGCGGGGCTCTCACTACCGTGGAGGGAGGGAGGATGATGGCACCCGCACTGGCTTCCAGAACAACGGCAGGGACGGCAACATGTTTGTCATGGAGGAGCAGCCGTTCTCCTCGTCACGCACCCACGACAATCCGTTCACCTCAACAACAGCGGGGGCGTCAAGCAGGAGCAGAGGCAGCAACAGAAACAGCGGCAGCCGCCCGCGTCGGCACTCGCTGACGGCGCAGCTCAACGCAAGCATTGACCTCGGCACGGGCCGCCGTACCAGCAAGGTGTCTGTAAACGGCGCAGACGGCTTGGGCCCTGGCGATGACGATGAAGATGATGACGAGATGATCCTCTTGGCCGAGGAACCGGAGCACGACCCTGTTTTGCACAGACACAGGTCGTTCTCGCCAGGCATCCTTGGCCGTCTCGGCATTGGCAGAGACGCTAGACCAGAGTAAGTACGTGTGTGTTTGTGTGTGTGTGTGTATGTGTGTGTGTGTGTGTGTGAGAGAGAGAGTGTGTGTGAGTGTGTGAGTGTGTGTGAGTGTGTGTGTGTATGTGTGTGTGTGTGTGAGTGTGTGAGTGTGTGTGAGTGTGTGTGTGTGTGAGTGTGTGTGTGTGCACACATGTGAGTGTACGAACGCGAACGAACGCCTTCTGTTAGTACCCACCTCACCTCTTGCTTTCACAACAACAACCGCACACGTGCAACACAACTAATCCACAACCATCATAGCTTCCGTTATGATGACTACTCGACTATTGATTGGGCACGTGACACCGCGTTGGAACTCAAGCGAAAGAAGGAGTCCGTCAGGTGAACACGCTTCCACCTCGTGTCTCCTCGTGTCACACTGCGTTATGCTCTCACACGGCCTTTCGGTCAAATCCAAGGGGTGCCATCGTGTGTCGTCTCCGGCTCACCGTAGCACCTTCTCTTCCATGTGCAGGTTTCAAGGGTACATATCGCAGGCGTGGGACGCTGCATCTGGATGGGTTCTTATGGGCGCCATCGGTGTCCTGTGTGGTGTCTTCGCAGGCTTCATTGACATTGGTGTGTGTGTATCTGTGTGTGTGTGTGTGTGTGTGTGTGTGTGTGTGTGTGTGTGTGTGTGTGTGTGTGTGTGTGTGTGTGTGTGTGTGTGTGTGTGTGTGTGTGTGTGTGTGTGTGTGTGTGTTCACGCTTGGAATCTCCACCATCACTTCCAACCCCCCGTTTCCTCATGTCACTTTGTGTTTGTCTGAGCAATTTGTTGTGATTGTGCGCAACAGCTTCGCGCAAGTCGCTCCACAGCACCGTGCCCCTGTTCTAACCCCCCTTGCCCCCAAATCACCGCAACCACCACCGCAGGCGCCGAGTGGCTGTCAGACATCAAGGAGGGTGTGTGCCCGCGTGCGTTCTGGTGCGTTTGTGTTTCGAATCAGCCAGGGACGGCAAGTGGGGACAAAGGAAGGGAGGGGGGATTGTGTGGTGCACTGTGCGCGCGTGCATATGTGTGTATAAGCACACGTTCGTGTGTGTATGTGTGTATGTGTGTGTGTGTGCGTATGTGTGTGTGCGTGTGCGTGTGTGCGTGTCAGGGGTGCTGTGTTGCACGCTTGTCTGAGTTGGGAACTCATCGATTACACCATGAGCATCGTTCCAACTGCCACATCCTCATGACCGCGTTTTGCCTCTCCTTCCTCCTCGTGTCCTCCAACACACACCACCCTGCACCCCCCCCCCGCCAAAGGCTGAGTCGCAAGCACTGTTGCTGGGCAGAGGAGTTGGCAGAGCAGCGCGACACGTGCGAGCTGTGGAAGTCCTGGGGCGAGATGGCCGGCTACAGCATCGAGGATGACGCGCGTCTTGCCGGCGCAAGCTTCGCTGTTCGCTACTTTGCCTACATGGGTTGGGCCGCGTTGCTTGCAGGCATTTGCGCCCTTCTTGTTGTGCGTATTAGCCCATACGCTGCCGGCTCCGGTATCCCAGAGGTATGTGTGTGCGTACGTGTGTGTGTGTGTGCGGTTGTGTGCGCGTGTGTGCGTACGTGTGCGTGGTTGTGTGTGGTTGTGTGTGGTTGTGCGTGCGTACGTGTGCGGTTGTGTGCGTGCATGTGGTTGTGTGCGGTTATGTGCAGCCAATTTGCAGAACAAATCTTCTGATCCAGCAATTCACAGCACCCTGATCAACAAACCCGTCCTCGCGTTCCTCTCTGCGTGCCTCGATAAACTCACTCCATCCACCATTCACATCCCCCTTCCTCTGCTCTGCAGGTGAAAACGATCCTGAGCGGCTTCATCATCCGCGGGTACTTCAGCCTATGGACGCTGGCGGTCAAGGCGCTGGGCATGGTCGCGGCGGTGGCGGCCGGCCTGAGTCTCGGGAAGGAAGGTCCGCTCGTCCATGTCGCCTGCTGCTGCGGGAACGCCCTCTCGTATCTCTTTGCAAAGTACCGTCTCAACGAAGCAAAGCGGCGTAAGTCGGCGGCGGGTGGTGGTGGTGGCTGTGGTTGTGATGATTTTGGGTTGAGGTGCGAGCGTCAGTGAAGAAGAAGAAGCATCACCTTGCTCGTGAACAGCCATGTAGCCACCCACCCCCCCACACACACACCCCACACACACACGCGCCCCTCTCTGCCTCTGTCCCTGTCTGTCTCTGTCTCTCACACACACTGTCCCACTTGTTCTGCATGCCACAGGAGAGGTTCTGTCTGGCGCGTCGGCTGCGGGCGTGTCTGTTGCGTTCGGCGCCCCCGTCGGCGGCGTGCTCTTTAGCCTCGAGGAGGTGCGTGCATGCATGGTTACATGTGTGTATGTGCGTGTGTATGTGCGTGAATGCGTGTATGCGTGTATGTGTGTATGTGTGTATGCGTGTGCGTGTGTATGTGTGTGTATGTGTTTGTGTATGTGTGTGTGTGTGTGTTCATTTTATATCGCTCAAGGAAGCATGTGGATTTGCTCCTCATTGTCAACTGGACATATGCACACTTGTCATATCAATTACCGGCATACATAACTGACTGTGTGCGTGTGTGTGCGTGTGCGTGCGTGTGTGTGCGTGTGCGTGCGTGTGCGTGCGTGTGCGTGCGTGTGTGTGCGTGTGTGCTGTGCAGGTGAGCTACTACTTCCCGCACAAGACGATGTGGCGCTCCTTCTTTGCCGCCATGGTCGGCGCCGTCGTCCTCTCAAACCTCAACCCGTTCCTCAGCGGTAACCACTTACCGCAATCCGTGCATGTGTGCGTGTGTGCGTGGGTGTGTGCTGCGTCGTGCATTGCGTCGTGTGCTTGTTTTACTCTTGTGCTGCCGTGTGTACTTGGCGGTGAATGAGCAAGATCGCTGTAAATTAGCCGTGTCAGAATTGCTTCACGCGTTGCTCACTTCACACCATCGTCACCGCCACTGCTTCACCCGTCACGATGCTGCTGCCGCTGCTGCCGCTGCTGCTGCTGCAGGCCACCTTGTGAAGTTCTACGTTGAGTTTGACTATCCCTGGCACTGGTTTGAGCTGATCCCCTTCATCATCATCGGCGTTTTTGGCGTGAGTGTTCAGCGCATGCTGTCATGCAGTGGTGAAGAGCAGAGGACACAGACGGGCGCCCGCGCTCGCTCCGCATCACATTGACGTTGACAACGCTGTGATTGGCCGCTGTCTATGGTTCACTCGGGCTTTGACCACTGGTCACACACACACACACATACACACACACACATACATACACACACACACACACACACACACACACACACACACACACACACACACACACACACACACACACACACACACACACACACACACAACGCGCACGCGCTGTTGTCATCGCCAATGCGTGCAGGGGCTGTATGGGGCATTCTTCAACCGCTTCAACCTCAACTGGTGCTCCTTCAGAAACCAATCGGCTCTTCGAAAGTCAGTCCACTTGTGGGCATGCGGTTATGGTTGGCATCTGGTGGTGACCGCACGCTTTTGCGACAACGGTTGTCTCCGCTGCACTCTTCTCTTCCAAGAGACTGTTCTCTCTCTCTCTCCCCTCACACACACAACACACACACACACACACACACACACACACACACACACACACACACACACGTTTGCGCGCGTTAGGTATGGGATCACGGAGGTGGTGTGTGTTGCGCTTGTGACGGCGCTGCTGAGTTTCCCGAATCGCTTCACGCGCTCCTCTGCTGCCGACACCATCGCCGCCCTCTTCAGCGAGTGCGCACCAGGCAGCGTCGACCCGCTGTGGTGCGTGCACCCGTGCCTGCGTGGGCATACGTGCACGTGGTTGTTTGCTTGTGTTTATGTGCGCTTTCCTTGAGCGTGTTTGGTTTGTGTTCACGTGTGTGTTTGTGTTCGCGTTTGTGTGTTTGTGGTCGTGTACGTGTGTGCACATGGTGTCACTCTTGTCGAAAGCACTTACATGCGTACCCATGCGTTGCCTCCGTGGCTGCCGTTGTGCTCGCTACCGCGCGAAAACTGCTTGTGTCTGTCGTCGCCTCCTCCTCTCGCTCTGCAGCGATGACGACCGGTCCATCATCATGGGGGATCTCCTGCTCGCGTGCGCATTCAAGGCGCTCATCACCATCTTCACCTTCGGCATCAAGGTCCGTGTGCACCGCACGTGACGCGTCGCCCATCTTGTCCACATGTACACACAGTTTGCACGCACACACAAGCAGACAGATAGACAGACAGACACACACCCACAGACACCCACAGACACCCACAGACAGACAGACAGACAGACAGACAGACAGACAGACAGACAGACAGACAGACAGACAGACAGACAGACAGACAGACAGACAGACAGACAGACAGACAGACAGACAGACAGACAGACAGACAGACAGACAGACAGACAGACAGACAGACAGACAGACAGACAGGCAGACAGACAGACAGACACACACACACACTCACGTGCACGTTTTCTCAAGCCCTGCAAGCCGCAACAAGCCTTCCGCGTCGACTTTCTTCTCACACGCGTTGCTCATCACTGTCACTGCATCGTGTAGGCGCCTGCTGGGCTGTTTATCCCAACCATGTTTGTTGGGGCGACGTTTGGACGCGTCATTGGCATGGTCGTGGAGGACATTGTTGCGTACGTTTGCACGGCGCGTTGAGGGTGGAGATTTACAGATGCCTTTTCGGGGAGTTGAAGGAGTGCACAGGAATGACACAAGTGGTACAGCTTCACGCACTTGTACGCTGTCAGCCCAGCACAGACGGGCAGGCGGCTTTTCTCACACTTATTCACTGATACACACGCAACTCACACGTTTATTCATCCTTTCCTCCTGTTTTGTTCGTGTGCATGCCTGCTGCTACTTCTGCTGTTCTGTTCCGCAACACAGTTCACACGAGAGCGTCTCGATGATTGCCAACGCCTGCCCAAACCCCGACACGTGCATCACACCAGGTTCTTCATCGTTGTTCTTCCCACACTCCTTGGTTGACGATAATCACCGTCCCATGCATATGCCATGCACCACCACCACCACCACCACCACCACCACACCACCACACCACCATGCCAATTCCTCATACTCAACTCTCCTCACCACCACACCAGGGCTGTACGCCATGGTGGGCGCGGCTGCCACGCTGGGCGGAGTCACGCGCATGACAGGTGTGGGCACCACGTTAATGCCACTAACGATGATGTAATCACTGATCGTGTGCGCGCGCGTGCATGTCTGTGCGTGTGCATGGTGCAATGTGTGTCTGCAAGCCATACAGCCTTGTCCTCACCTTGTCGCAAACACAATCCTGTCGCGTGCTTGATGGTTCTCTCCTCAGTGTCACTGGTTGTGATCATGTTTGAGCTGACGGGCGGCCTGACATACATTCTTCCACTCATGCTCGCTGTCATGATCAGCAAATGGTAATGTTACTTGTATGTGCTTGTTTGGGTGTGCATGTTTGGGTGCGTCCTGCGTTCATGGCTGAAATGGCTGAAGGGAGCGTGTGTGAGGCTGTTGTATCGTTATGTGCACTATTTGCTGCGACATTGCTACAACTCATGTTCACGTGCTGCCGCATTCTTTGGCGTGCAACCAGGGTTGGCGATGCCTTCAACCGGGACGGCATGTAAGATGACAGCCCCCATTTCGACAACCCACTGCTTGCGCACCACAGACGCTCGTCTTGATGTGCCAGCTGCTGTGCACTTGTTGATGCTATTTCTGTCTGCTCGACGCGCTGCTCCTTCTGACCAAGCACAACGCACACACAACACACACAACGCAACACAACACAACGCAACGCAACACAACGCAACGCAACACAACACAACACAACACAACACAACACAACACAACACAACACAACACAACACAACACAACACAAAACAACACAACACAACACAACACAACACAACACAAAACAAAACAACACAACACAACACAACACAACACAACACAAAACAACACAACACAACACAACACAACACAACACAACACAACACAACACAACACAACACAACACAACACAACACAACACAACACAAAACAACACCAGCTACGACCGCCACATCCGGCTCAAAGGGTTCCCGTTCCTGGACACCAAGGAGGAGTTTTCGTTTGCGACGCGCGCTGTTGATGTGATGCAGCCGCCTGTATCTGCTGACGAACCGCCAGTTGTTCTTCCCTGTGACGGGCTCACCGTCGCTGGTCTCGGTGCGTGCGTGCATGCGTGCATCTGCGCGAAAGTGTTCGCCGCTGTGTGTGAGTGCTTGGTGTTGTGGGAATGTGCGAGTGTTTACGGCTCTGGGATTGTGTGTTGTTGTGGTTTGGACGTACCATGGCTCTCAAACTCACGGCTTCTGTCTGTCAAATGCGCGTTCCCCTTCCCCTCTCTCTGTTGGCAGAGGACATTATTCGAAACCACACGTTTACCGGCTTCCCGATTGGTGAGGCGAAGCACTGACTCTACGTTGTTCTTGTTGCAGTGCGCGAGGAATCACCTTTATCCTTCATCACACACACACACACACTCACATACGCGCGCGCACACACACACACACTCACACACTCACATACGCTCTCTCTCTCTCTCACTCACACACACACATACACACACAAACCGACACACACTTATCTCCAGTGAACAACCGCCGTGACATGCTCCCGCGGGGATACCTCATCCGTAGTGATGCGCTCGACGCACTGGGTATCGTCGTTGTGCGTTGGCTTTTGCGGTGGGGAACAGGGTGTGTAGAGTCATCATGTGGGGTTGTTTTGCTCTTGCCGCGCTTTGTTGCAGGCCGCGATGACTCGTGTGTCATTAACGCAAACACGCACACATCGCATTGCCTTTGTTCGCCCTTGTGGGCATGTGTGCAGCCGAGTACAAACACGACCCGGATTGCGACATGTCGGCGCCCGTGCAGTTCTTTGAAGACGATGCTGAAGAAACTTCATTCTCTCGCGCTGTCGGTGACGCAATGCCATCCGAACAGGCCCTCGACGTCACAGCAGCCGTGCACAGGGTACGAGCTGGGACATGTGTGTGCGTGCGTGCGCGCATGTGCGCGTGTGCGTGTGTGCGTGCATGTGTGTGCTTGCGTGCGCGCGCGTGTGTGCGTGCATGTGTGTGTGTGTGTGCGCGTGCGTGTGTGCGTGTGTGTGTGTGTGTGTGCGCATGTGTGTGTGTGTGCGCATTGGGTGTGTGTGTGTCTGTGTGACGCATGAAGTACTGACTCCCCCGTGCCCATCGCGTGCTTGCCCTTCTTTTGCCATTGCGTCACGGCAGGACGTGTTCCAAGTCTCGCACACGATGGTGATGCCCACGGTGATTGAGCTCTTCCGGCGCATGGGGATTCGCCAAGCCATCGTCATGCGTGAAGGGTAAGCCACGCACACAATGATGTTTGGCGTGGTGCTTGCGTGTACATCGACGTTGGTTTGCCACTCTTCAAGACGTCATTCTGCCAACTCATTTCTCGCCTCTCACACACACACACACACACACACACACACACACACACTCACGCACTCATGTAGGCGACTGGTTGGGATCCTGACCAAGAAAGACGTGATCAAGCACATGCATGTCATGACGGCACGACACGCCAATGTGCAATATCACTGATGACACACACGCACACACAGGTGCGTTCACAAACCATAACACCACTGCCACCATGATCATTACATGCGTGCGTGTTCGTCCTAGTTGCTGTCTAAGATGGCGTTTATTGGACTCGCGTGCATGGACATGACATGTTGGTAACGCTGCACCACACTGATACTCTGATGGGCCATTCCTGTTGATAACAGACTGCACACGCTGTTCAGGCGCGCGCAAGCTCCAGCCCATGCAGCCGGCACTGGCTGTGGAAGTGATCCATGTCAATGTACGCGCCAACCTGTAGTCGTGGTTGGTGCCGTTGTTCGTGTGTATTTGGTGTAAATTTGTGTGTGTGTCAATGTGTGCGTGCAATGTGTGTGTGTGTCAATGTGTGCGTGTGTCAATGTGTGCGTGTATTGTGTGTGAAGATAATCAATCTGAGGTTGGTGTGTATCGGTGTGGCATGTGTGAAATGTGCGAGTCTGCCCGTGCATGTGCGCGCGCGTGTAATATGCATCAAGCGGCAACGGACAAGCCCGTGCGTTGTGCACGTTGAGTGTGCTGTTGTGTTCCTTGGAGTGGGTAGGATGTTTGTCCCAAACGAAGCGAGTGCAGGTGTGCACGGGTGCATTATGTGCTGCTTTCTTCAGCTTAGGTCGAGTCAAACAAATAGAAAGTAACGTGCAGACACGTACAACACGGAGCCGTGGTTGGTGCCGTTTGATTGACTTACGAAGGAGCGTGCGCCCTGGAACGCTTTGCGTGCGTGCAAGCAGCGGTGGTTGTCCACAACGACCATCTCGTTATCCTTGACACGTTTCAGCAGAGCCAGCCTGAATGGCGTTGGTGCGGTGACAGGTGGGGAGACGATGATAGTTAGCTAATGAAATGGCGAGGGGGACAGGGAGGATGACAAACAGCGCACATAGCATCACGCAGGCATGAAACAGCACATGCCACCGCACGCAGGGGCGGTTACGAAGACATACACACAAACACACACACACACACACACACACACAACACACAAACACACAGACAGACAGACAGACAGACACACACAGACACACAGACACAGACACAGACACACACACACACACAGACACAGACACAGACACAGACACAGACACAGACACAGACACACACACACACACAGACACACACACACACACACACACACACACGCTTACTCGTCGCTGAGCATGACGCGGGTGAGGACGGGCAGGTGGGTGTAAAAGGCGTCGACGACGTGTGCAGGCATGCCGGCCAAGGGGCCGCGGTCGCTGTTGTTGTAGCGGAACTGCGTCAACTGCTTGTTGGCATCCAACGTAAACACTGTATTGAATGCATGTAAGTGTGTAAGTGTGTGTGTGAGTGTGCGTGTGTGAGTGTGCTTGTTGTGCTGCTGGGAAAAAGAAGAGAGTCGACAGCATGTGGAGCAGAACATCGTTTCGAAGGATACAGCAAGAATGCCTTCACACACAGGAAAGACACCCACACCCACCCACACCCACACACCCACACACACCCACACACACACCACACCACACACACACACACACACACACACACACACACACACACACACACACACACACACACACACACACACACACACACACACACACACACACACACACACACACACACACACACACACACACACACACAAACACACCTTTGCCCTCCGCGCAGAGATAGATGCCGTCCTCAATGCAGTAGAACGGAAGCACAGTGGTGGCAAAGAAGTCTGCTGCCTCCGGTGATTCGCGGGCTAGGGTGTCGTAGATCTGATGAGGCGTATGGTGCGGAAGCATGAGACACGGGGTACACAACCCTCACACACAGACACATACACATACACAGACACAGACACAGCCAGACAGACAGACAGACAGACAGACAGACAGACACACACACACACACACACACACACACACACACGCACAATCTCACACACACACGCGCGCACGCACGCACACGCACACACACACACACACACAACCCTCACACACGCACACACACATACATACATACACACACACACAACCCTCACACACGCACACACACATACATACACACACACACACACACACACACACACACACACACACACACACACACACACACACACAACGCACCGCGCGGCCGTCGACGAACCAGGACTCGCCTCCTGTTGCTCTGTTTTGCAAGCAGGAGAAGAGCTGGAGACCAGGTGGCATGGCGTGGTATGTACAGTCCGTGTGTGGGGGAAGCTCGATGGTCGTCATGGCCGTGTCGTTCACGTCTGCATCCGCCACAACCCTCAAATCCCAAATGTCATCTGCGTAGAAGGTGCGGCGCAGCATACCGAAGCGCTGGAAGACGGCACGCAGGGCGTCGCGTCCTTCCGGCATGTGGTGGAGGTGGACAAGGCCGTCCCGAAGCAGCGTCTCCAACACCGCCCGCTGCGCGTCATGCGAATCCTCGCGAGCGTCGAAAGACTGCAAGGGCAGCTCAGGCCCATACCACGTCTTTGGCTGCACGTAAGACACGGGCCCAAGCATGCTCCATCCAGACGCCTTTGTCTTGGCGGTGCTGGCTTGGTGTGCAGCACCGGTGGCGCGCGGGGTTGAGGCGGTGGAACTGTCAGAGGCATCCCCACCATACGCGTTTGCACGCAGCCAGTCCAGGTTATAGATGGTGGGCGGCGTGTTGGCTTCGCGGCTGCTCTTCCACGAAAGGTGGAGCTCGTTGCCCTTCACCGAGATGGCCTCTGGTGCTTCGGTTGGATCAATGGACACGGTGTCGATCATGCGTTGCCTGGACGTTGGGTGCAGCACTGCAGGGCTGTGGTCCTGCAGCCAGATGAAGGAGAAGGCGTTGCTGGAGCCATCGCCCCAGTCCACCCGCACCTCGCGGTCACCGACCGTGACGGACGCGGCGCCGCCACCTGTGCTCCCTTGCCTCTGCTCTGCTTGCACCCTTGCCCTCGCCGATGTCACAAGGGAGCGGAGGCCGGGCTCCGCAAGGCCTCGCTGGTGGTGCGGCGCAGCCACACGCAGCAGCACCCTCCGCATCATCAACATGCTTGCTGTTGCTCTGCTCTGCTTTCTTTGGAGTGGTCGTCGCTGTGTCGAGCAGTGACGCAATCCGCCGCTTGTGCTTGGGAAGGACCGCCACCCAGAAGGATTGTGAGTGACATGAAGGAACGCGAGTCTCCTCACGACTTGGATCAAGGGCTTGCTTGCTTGCTTACTGATCATGTAGAGTGTGTACATCGGTTGCGTCGCAAAGGAAGAGGAGGAGGAGGAGGAGGAGGAGGAGGAGGAGGAGGAGGAGGAGGAGGAGGAGGAGGAGGAGGAGGAGGAGGAGGAGGAGGAG